GGGAGTTTTTCCTTCCCACTGTCGCCAAAGTGCTTGCTCATAGGGGGTCATATGATTGTTGGGTTTTTCTCTGTATCTATGAAGCGTCTTGAGGCGACTTTTGTTGTGATTTGGCGCTATATAAATAAAATTGAATTGAATTGAATTGAACTGTAGCAGACAGCAGGAGACCACCACGGTCAGAGCTTTCAGTGTGCTTAAATTTGAACATGCAGCAGATACCGTATGCGTGACTCACCTGTTTCTATAAATCACTCTCTTGACAACAATCACAGCAGAAACAATAGCTATGAGGACGATGATGACTGCTCCTGCACACACCAGGATCAACACCAGCTTTTCTCGCTGGAAAATACACGAAAAGGTTGATATTTATCCAAACAAAGACAATTTTATAAAATGAAGCAAAGACTGAAAGAGCACAATCAACCTACTGACCGGTGTGTCAAAGTGTGTGACTGAAGATGTGGACATTGCAGGAGGAGCAGGACTAGGTTTAATACCACAGGCTTTGACTGTCTGCTTTATGAGCTGAGGACTGAACCCACCCTCACACCTATCACTCGGGACCTTGCGGTACCTACAAAGGCAAAAGGGAATAGAGTGAGATTTGCATGTGTGCGTAAAGGTGGTGTTTCTCTTTGCTTTATGAAGGCAATTACCCTTCTGTCAGAAGCTCATCCTCCTCTCCATTCAAACAGAGCTCATAGGTTTTATTTGCAGCGTTTGGCTGTCTCACACACTCTGAGGTGTTAATGTGTCGATAGTAACCAAAGTCGCTGTAGTAAAGGAGAAAAAAAGAGTTTTAGTGCAACCACAAAATGCTTTTCTCTTCTTAAACTCTATATTTTGCAAGAAAATGGGTGCAGCAAGTTTTTAAAAAATGTGCAAAGACACATGAAAATGCAGTACATAAGGGAAAAAAAACACAGTAATGCTGGGTTTTGGGCTGAAGCTATGTCTTTGGCTAAGAATGCAATTAAAAATTTTTAATTTTGTTTTAATTTTGTTGTCTGTTATGTGCAGACACAGCATCCCTTGAGTTAGCTGCCTTTTTTTGTGCTTGAGTGATTCACACGTTTCCCAGACAGAGCAGCATTATGCTTTACACACCGTAAGAACACTGGTCTCTCTTGGTCGCTTGCTGCAAAAAGAAGTTCATGATCGTCTGCTTTCTCATCCTTGGCAAGGAAAGCACTCAGGTCACACTTGCCATTGCTACACTCTCATTTAAAAGCCACAGCCATTAACTAGAGGCCAAAAGCAGAACAATGCCGCCTTTCTTCATTAAAAAGGAAAACAAGCAAACAAACAGAAAAAGTAAATGCAAAACAAAAAGCTGATCTTGAACTTCTGAGATGTAAGCAAAGGCCTCAGAATTTTGAATCATTGTACAGCTAAGATAAAGTAATATATTATTATTTATTGTGCAAAAGTCTTGACTAAGCTCTTGTTTATTTTTATTTTTTTTAGGAAAATGGGAAATAGAGTTTGTACACTCTGGCGAGGTTGAAAGTCAGTATTTAGTAAGACCAGTGATGGGACTAATGGCGTTACTTTTTTCAGTAACGAGTAATCTAGCTAATTACTATTTCTATCGTTACAACGCTGTTACTGTTACTAACAAGAAAATGTGATGCGGTCACGTTACTATTTTTTAACAAACAGACGGCTGAAGCTGTGTTCAGCTTACTCCACCTTATATCAGTTGCATTGAAGAAGCTGACTATGCGCTACAGCTTTCAGCAGCTGCACTCGGCAATCACTTTCTGGCAGACAATCACTTTTTGGCACAACACCTGGAGCTAAGGGGGCAAAACAATCGCATGAGTTCTGCTGTTTGACTGAGGAGGAATAAAGTAGTCGTGGTAAGCCAATCACATGACCAATTTAAGATGACAAAGCAACAAGGTGATATATACCAGTTTTCAAATTGTGTTTATAGACCACGTAAAACCAGAGTCATGATAAACAACATATACTCGGTGTTTTTTCCTGAATACTTTTGTCACGTTTACTGTCTAAGGACAGCGCTAGCAAGCACTCTCTGCTTATGACCACAAAATAAAAAAAACAAAACAAAAACCAGCAAAAACCAGCCCGTTCATGTTGGTGGAAAAATGCACCATGTCGACCAATCAAAAAATGATATGGACAACATGACATGTGGTTGTTTAGGAAGACGGGATAGTTTTAGGAGTGAGAAAGAGAGAAAGAGAGAGAGAGAAAGACAGTAGAAAAAGAGAGAACGCGAGTTTTGAGATGTGTGACGTTTAGCATGTTTGGAGTGTGTAGTTAATGTGTTGTCTTGTGTAGTTAGTGTGTAGTGTTGTGGGTAGTTTTGTGTTGTGTATCAGAACAATGAGATGACTGCTGTCTCCAGGTAAAAAAACAGGAGCAGTGATACACCTGCTGCTGTCAGACTATCAGGCTGTGATGTTCTCCTTTATAGTGGACAGGAATTATTGTTTTGGAGTGGCACAAATAATTTGCGTGGCATCTTATTGAATGCAGAAAAGCTGATTGTTATGTAAATAATTTGAAATGTTGTTTTTTTTTTTAAAGGTAAAAGGTAAAATTGACAATTTATATTTGCATTTAAAGTTATGAAATATGATTCACTAAACATGTCTGTGGTTGTTACAGTAAAAATGTAACTTTCTACTTGGATTTTATGTTTTTTGTCTGATTTTAGATCAATTGTGTTAATACAGTATGTCAAAATGAAAACATAACTGTAAATTCAGACACGTAAGGTTGTGCTGAAAAGGATGATACCAAACAAGGCAAAGTAAATAGTTTTTAAAGGTGAAATGTAGAGGGAAAATCAAAAGTAGTTAACAATGGCCAATTATACCCTGGACCCCAGAGGGTTAAACTTTTTTTTAAGTAACGCAATAGTTACTTTTCAAGTAATTAATTACTTTTAATATCTTGCAACTCAGTTACTAACTCAGTTACTTTTTTGAAGAAGTAACAAGTAACTATAATTAATTACTTTTTCAAAGTAACTTGCCCAACACTGAGTAAAACCATCTATAGTCTTCAACAGAGCCTGTACTCTCTTAAGCAAGCCTTCTTCTAATTCCTTTAAGTTGTTTTCAGGAATAAATCTCCAGGCTCCTTGAAAGACATTCAAAGCTCTTTGGATGTTTCTGCCTTTTGTTCCATTCTCCTTTAAGATTATCCTACACTGCTCCAATAATACTGCGGTCTGGGCTCTGGGAAGACCAATCCATGACTGATAGTGTTCCATTGTGTGTTCTTCCATCCTGGTATGCTTTTACTGCATTCACTGTGTGCTTTGGATCACTGACATGGTGAATATTTAAGCCACTGGCAATCAAATACTTTCCTCGCCCTAAACCATGACAGAGCATCCACTGTGCTTTACAGATGGCTTTAGACAATCACTGTTGTACCTTTCCTGATCTCATCCATACATACTGATGACATCTTGAACCAATAATTTCAAATTAAGACTCATCACTCCATAAGACCTGGTACCACTGATTTTCAGTTCAGTTCTTGTGTAACTTAGCGTACTTCAGCCACACTTCCACTGAGCCCATTTCTGGCCACGCCAAACAGTGAGTCTGTTTTTAAATACTCAGTCCCAGAGTCCATTATAATGTACCTGAGAGAAACTTCTTAAGAACATGATGTTCATATACTGTCCATCTATACTGTAGATAGTATTTTTTTTAAGTTTTTCCATGACTTCTTTTGAAACCTGCCCACTTTCATCACATCATTAAGTGGCTTAAAAAATGGTCAAATAGTGACAGGAAATGAGTGGAAAAGTGGCCAGTGTGCAAAGACAAACTTTAGAAGACCTTCAGAAAGCCTTGAGAACTATTGCTCAAGGTCATTAAAAACAAAGAGGGAAAAAAGAAAAGAGTCTGGCTCACTGGAAGCAAAATGTAATGAAATGAAAGGTTTTTACAATAATATGTAGTACGTTACAGGACCATTTAAAAACAAAACAATCCAACATACCACAAGAAATCTTCTCTGGTGCACAGACAAGGGCTTTGCTTTTTCATCACCACAAAGCTTCGCCCATTTCGGCATAGAGATTGCTTCTTTAACCTCCTGTAGGTCTCCTTAACACCCAGGACACATCCATTTCTTTCCGAGTCCCCTCCTTCTGTTGAATGAGCCAACCACTCTTCATAGTCGTTGTCATTACCTGATGAAGACATTGATGACCTATTTAACTGTCACTAACAATCCTTTTAAAAAATGCAGGTTTAACAAAACCAAACCTAGAATGTAAATAAAGCAGTTTTAGGCAATGTTAGTCAAACTAGTGACGCATAAGTCTGTCCCAACACTTATGTCACTTACATAAGATTACTAATGCAAGTGCAAAACAGCATCTGCAATACAACTAGGCAAAATGCCACAGGGGAAATATCGAAAGTCCCGGGAAAGTATCTATCTTTTCACCACCAGATAAAAGGGTGTGGTTTAATTACAGCATCTCACACAAATTGTAGAGGAGAAAACAAAAAAAAAATGCAAACAGGTATGTTTTCTTCTTCAAATCTGCGTCATAAACAGAGGTAAAACAAGCGGGATGTGTTTTTACAGGTTTTTAGAGGTTGTGGAAAATCCCTGCTTCTGCAGTCAGAAAACAGCTAATACAACTCACATGAACCTACCACCAGGTGGCAACATGCCATAGAAACCAGTGAAGAGCAAAGAGTGCACAGTAGTCGTAGATGTTATTAGACTTACATTCTCTGGTAATGAGACTCTGGAAATCAATGGTGACTGCTACCCACATGGGCTGGCCGTCTTCCTCGGGCCGGAAGCCCCACACACTGACGGTCATGGCGTTGGTCCCCGGCTCAGATGCCAGGCCTGCAAAGAAGAAGGGCTGATCTGTAAAGTTATACAGCTTCCAGCACTGACCCTCATCCGTGGAGAATCTGGTGGTGAAAAACAGTAGAAAAAGAGAAAACTTTAAATCTGAGAAAACACTTCCTGTCACTTCCCTGTGGTCTTTAAATGAGAATAAAGTACTTGATAGTCTTGACTTGTCCTTCACGATGGGCCTCCACAGCCACAATTAGACCCCCAGAGTCCAATATAGTGTAGTGATGAGGACCCCTCAGCGTCCCCCTCCAGTTATAACCTCCATCTGAGGAAACAAACACGTCGGGGTTCTGCGATGATGACAGAGAATCACCCACGCTGCCTGTTAAAAAGAAGAAATCATCTATAAGTGTGCATTTTACACAGTATTTGGACAATGGTTTGGACTGAAGCACTGAAAGTAATTACAAATTAATTACCATGCGCAATAACCAGACCAACAGCAGCCGGCTCAGACAGGGTCACCATGGGAACTATATGGTTATTACGACTGTGTTCCCCATGTATATGGAGATTGCACTGGCAAAAGAAAAAAAAAGATCAAAATGAAAACACATACATACAGACAGATAAATTAATTTTTTTTCTATGTAACATACACTCTTGATCTTGTCTCCACAATTTATGTTCTCGGGTTTTTTAAGCGGTCTCCACGTCCCTCCTCTGTTGAATGAAATGACAGATTTTATACGGCCATCTGAAAGAAAAACAAAGTATTCCGGTCAATACTCAGTAAGTTCAATCAGGATTTTAGATATAACTCTCATTATGCAACTCATGGCTGTTTATTGAAAGATCAAATGATTTGCTTTTAGGCTACTCTAAAAAAACAAAAGAAAAGACTGAGCTTCTGTTCCTATGGGATGATTTTAGAAGTCTCACAGCCTGGCTTTTGTGCTCTGCTCAACAATGCTGAGGCCATGCATGTGCCATGACAACCTCTCTGTAAAGTTTAATAAGTTTTCCTACTAATTTCTTTCTTTCTTTTGTAGCTTTTATGAGCAGGGTGGAGTCCACCTGCTCCGGGTGTTACAAACCAGGATCTTTGTCTTTGTTTTTTCTTCACGTCAGCAATCAGCTCCTTAGTTTCGTTAATGTTGGGTAATATTTTGTTCTCTTAGCACCGCACTGCAGTATTGCTGATGACAGTTGTGTTCTCTTCTGTCAGACAATGATGTTATTGGTTGAGCACTAAATTGAAAGTGGCATGACAGCCTGTCCAATCTCCTCAATTCAAACACTTATAACTCATACAGTGTCACAAAACAGACAACTGGGGGCTACATTTTGGGGGTTGGAATCAAAAGCTTTTGGCTTAAAGCCATTTTTTACAGGAGTTATGTACGAAAAGCTACAAGACAGAAGATGCATACAATACCTGTATGGAGAATCTTACCAACGTCTAGCTTATTAGTGAGGTACACTCCTCTCAGTGAAGTAATGTTGGTGAAGTCACTCTTTCGATGTCCATCAAACAGGTGGCGCTCTAGAGATTTGGAGAACAAGATCCCACGGTCGTCTGAGGTGTACATGGTCCCAAAGAAGGTGTCTGAAATAAAACGGAAAGCACGAATGTATCTCGCAAAATTACAACACATTTTAACCTCTCCTATGTAAAGAGTTGAATTTTTGCAGAAGTCTCAAGCCACTACTCATGTCTTTATATTTTGCTAGAAAAATAGTAAGTCAGTGCAGTTACTTATTGAAACATATGCAAAAAAACCCCCCCAAAAAACAAGTTCTAGCACATTTGAAAGCCAATACTGCAATAATGTTGTTGTCTGGACTCTAAAGAGGTTAAACCAAGGCTGATAGTGTTAAAAGCATTGATTAATACCTTGAGTTAGGTGCTATTCTTGTGCCTGAATAATTCAGAGGCCAGTGTTAAGTGACTTAACAAAATAAATTATAATAATAATAAAACATTTCTCCATCACCTGAGGGAGGGGATGGGGACATGTTAAGCTTTTGAATGTGTGTCCTCGTGTGTGCATGTGTATTTGTGTTACACCCCGATGCCAAGATATGCTTATCAGCTTTTGCAGTGAAACCTAAGTCTTCCTCGTTTCAGCCAGCAAAAGACAAAGTCACCCCACACCACCCATGCACCACTGTCTCAAGCAGGTGTGAGCCAAAAATTGTATTATACTAAAAAGAGAATAAAATTCCTTCCAATTGAATGAGGAAGGAAAAGAAAGGGCACGAGTTGGAGAGGGAGATAAAAACAGAGATGGAAAGGAACAAAGCCATGAGATCTAGACTTGCATGGACAAACACACACTCAGTATTATGGACTGATTTGTCAGCAAGTCCAAGAACTTGTTAAACCAGTCTTGTCTTTTCAGTTGAAGTTTTCCATTTCAACAGAAAAAAAAACTGATATGCTGTGAGGACACGTTCGCAAATATGTGTCAGTCATAGGGTTAATTTTTATAGATGTGGCTTTTTGAATGGAAAACATTTTCAAAGATATTAAAAGGTCCCATTTGCGGGTTTATGTATGTCTGATACCTCCTGGGTTGTCCACGTGCAGGAAGAGCATATCCTCATCTCCATCCAGGATGGAATAAAACTGCAAACAGAGACACATATGAAAATCGAGAGCAGACGTGAAAAAACACGCACACACAAAAGAGATGACTCGTTCAATTTTTTGCTATAAATCTTGTCTAATCTTCTTGAGACAGAATTTGTGTTTGTGCTGTCAACAAGATGTGTGGGTGTTTCATCAGAGCAGGTGTGTGTTCAGCTGGTGTTGAAAGGGAAAATGTTGCCACCGATGTTTTTTCTGCATATCAACCAACTTCCTTAGTATGAATGAAGTATCTGCATTTATCTTTAATGTTCCCCACCCATAAACCTGACACAAAGACAAACGGAGCGGTGCGATAAACATCTCAATTATCATTTAAAGAAAATTTGTTATAAGTGCCGATTCAATTCAATTTAAAGCTACTGTGTTGTGCTGGGAGGGAAAGGGTAGAACCACATCTTGCTTATTAATAACTTACTAAGAAGTAAGAGCAGTAAAAATACTATATCTTTGAAGGGTCAGTGATATGTGCTGATAAAAAAAGCAGACAAATGGCTGTGCACTGTAGTGGAAGGTTACATTTCGGTGTTGACTAGACAATCTGTTTTTATATACTTAGTGCAGGAGGGGATTAATAATGAGGGCAAAAACTGATGATGTGTGGAGTTCACACATAATCAGCTTTTGCCCTCATCAGGCATCAGGCAATCCTGATGAATTTACCTACAGTAGATCTAATTGTACAGTACCTACAGTACAATTAGATCTGAAAAAATTCCTGAATCTACCTACAGCAAATTCACCAGATTTGCCTGAGGGAACACATCATCAGCTTTTGCCCTCAGACAAATGTGATGAATCTACTGGAGATTCATCAGAAAGCGAAAACGTTGCTGTACATTCATCAGATTTGCCTGAGGGCAAAAGCTGATGGTGTGTGGAGTCGAGTGACTCCAAAAATCATCAGCCATACTTTTGAATTCGTTTTCAGCCTGTTACTGCACTACCGTGTTGGGCGACCCTTGAGAAACTGCCCTAATTTTGGTAATATATTTTGGTACCAACACCAAAACATTATTAACATATTAGACTGTTTTCATTAAGAGAGTGCTATAATATGCTTTGCATTACCTCAAAATCTCCCAGTTTGATTAGTTTAAAGTAACTCTTTAGTACTTGAAGGCACTAATAAGCTCTACTACCACTTCCACAGTGTTCACTGTGATTCTAATGAGGTCTCATACTGTTTGTAGCCTCCCAAGAGGTTTTTTGGCTACATTGTACATAATGCTGCTGTTATCAAAACAATTTATGAGTTCTGTCCCACAGTTGCTTTTTTTAAGTACTCTCAGCCGCCCACGTATTTCCCACATACAGCAAATGGATCCACATGTGTGGTTTGGCACAGATTCCACTTTTATCCAGAGTCTGGATCAGATCTAGGAATACACTACTTGTGAGGCTGAGCTTGTTTCTTCTCCCAGAACTGAACAAGTTAATTTTACCGTGTAAGGTGAATGTGTTAACCTCTACACTACAGAGGTGCATCTGTATTGTATTTAATATAGACATGAAATTATATACAGAGGGTGGAGTATAGAAATGTTAACAACACTAAAGCCAAGGAAATCTGCACAGGCTCTTGGATTTTACTTCATGCTATGCTGGCCTAAAGAGAGAGACCACTGGGGATCTGCACAAAGATAAATATTAAATACTTTTGACTTTGAATCAAACAAAGCTGCTCTAGTAGAGCCCAAGATTAAAAATGGAGCTGAATTCTTGCAGAACAGATCCTCTTTTAGTTTGAATTATAAGTAAGCACGATCTGTCTGTGTACATCCTTGGTCGTCTCGGTCATGGTAATCTTAAGCACTTAAAATAAAGTAAACTTGACTTTTTCTTGTTTGTGAAAACGTTTTGCCGCTCATCCAAGAGACTTCTTTAATTCTAAAAACTGATGAGTTAGATCATCGCCTTGGAGGTTGTCCCAAGAGTTACTGACTGGCTGCATGAGGGTATGAGGGTCACGTGAGGTAAGGAGTGAAGCTAGGCTGTCAGAAGAAGTCAAGTTTACTTTATTTTAAGCGCTTAAGAAGTAATCAAGATCATACATTTGACTGCCTCGTGCTACAGTTACATTTTGAATACTACCAAACATAATTGGTTCAATTCCCAGACCTACCTGTAGAATATTAGATGTTGTTGCTAACACACTCAACAGAAATGATGGTTGATATTTTCTCTCACCTGCTCAGTGGATGCAGAAGGCAGGAGTGCTTGACTGAAAGTATCTCCTTGGTCTGATGAGAAATACATCACACGAGGAGATCTCTAGGAGAAAAATTATGCATGACTATATAGATGGAATATATACTACTCGATAGACCGAGGTGTATAAATAATGATCCAGCCATCTTACCGGGTCTTCCATAACGGAGAAGAAGAGAAACGCTCCTATGTAACCAAAACTGTAGATGTCCTCATGGATTATGGTGAAGGTCTTCCCCAGGTCCTTTGTTCTTTTCAGGATTAAATCTCCCCTCTCCTCTGCCTCAACTGTATCGGCAAATGACAATAATAACACGAATAAGTTCAATAAGAAATGTGCACTTGCCTTAAACACATTTAAGCTCATTGCTCATCCGCATAAAGCATGCACCCTCACAAGCAATAAATGTTTTGAGTGAAAAAAAGTACTTATATTTATTTTGAGCTTGTGAAATTAGGCTCTGATGTACACAAGAGTAGTGATTTACACATCTGACGGATAAGTGAAAGTTGTCTGGTTTGATCCTGGAAGGAGACGTAGATCCTTTTGGGGTTGTGTCAAGAAGGACTTTCAGTGTAAAAATCCACCAAATCAAAAGCTGTGGAGGGTAAGGCAATAGTGTTTTCTCATGTAGCTGTCTAAGAATAAGCGCTGCTCTACTAATGGATTTAGTCATCTTAGCAATTATAAATCAAACTTAATCTCAATACACTATACTCTACCCCTCAGTTCCTCACACAACTTGGTAATTTATTTAGTTGTTTTGCAATGTGCTTATAGCATGTCAGTTTTGAGCTTCTTCAGTTGCTTTATTGTTTTATTGTACTTTAATAGCTTTTATGCCGCCCCGTAATCAAAGGATTTTTCCTGTGAGATAATAAAGATTTTAACTTGGCTGCAAAAGCCATAAAGATGCAGATTAGATTAAACATTAAAAGCAGAATTCTTATGACTATGCAAACCCTGTTACACACAAAATAAAAACATATATACACACTAGAATACAGACAAGCCTGTATTACAAAGTGTCTGATCTTTAAATTGCACCAGTTTTACAAAACCCTTTAACAGCTTTACAGGTTCTTACCTGCATCTACTTGACTGCAGCTGAAGAACAAATTTATGCCAGCTCCCCTGATGGAAAGTGGAAGGAAAAAAATTACAAACACCTCAAAATGTCACAATTTTAATAGGTCCTGTTTCTTTTTAAACAAGCATTTATTGCTTCAGAAAAACCTTGCTCGTATCATCTCAGTTTATTCAAAGTCCCACATGTTACGCATGTCATTATGCATTTTCCAGTGCTGTTACTATATTTGTGCCACAGAGCTATCACTGTTTGATATATTGAATAACTCTTTTTCCTTCTTTATTCTCACCATGAGAAAGAATGCACTCCATCGTGAACTTTTGTCCACCAAGCCCCAAAGTCCAGAGAAAGCCAAAGACCGCCCTGAAAGTCAGGAAACAGAGCAATGTTTACACATTAAGGAGTGTTCCTGATGTGTGTTTGTGTGGATGATAAACATGTGTGTCTGTGTGATAGCCAGGAATATTAAACAAAGCAACGGAAACCACTAAGGGACTTTAAAAGTTCAACAGACTCACATCAATGCTGAGGGCCACAAGATAGTCAGGGTTGAGGAAGTGGTACACGATTGGCTGCGCCAGGTGAAAGGGCAGTTGGATGAACTTGAAGGTTGCACCAGCATCCGTGGAGGTGAAGATAATCCCACCTGGATTGTTAAGCACCGGTGTGTCGGCTGTTAAAATCACCTGTCAGGGAAAATCAATGGAAAACTGCTCAGAGATGGAAATTTGAGAAAGAATTTTAGCTTCATCAATAACTTTTTGTAGTTTCGTGCAGAATTGTCTGCTTAAAATTCAGTGCATGCAAGCTCTGTACTAGTGATTTCAAGAAAGAAAGAAGAAAACCATCCACTTTCTCAGCTAAAGATTCTGCTTGCATAGCTCCGTGCAATATAATCAGTCTGTGAACAAAACTGTAAGAACACTAGTGGGTAAGACTCAAGCTGATTAGATGTCAGCATACATGATATTTTCACACCTTCATGTCAAAACATCACAAGGTCCACAGCCAAACATGCAATGCAGTTTACCATCACTAACTGCTCTTTCATTGCACACCCACAGAAAAGTGTTAGTAAGAGTGTAAAATAGTGCTACTTACAGAGATCCCAGGTCCAACACTGACTCCAAATTCCTCCTTAATAAAGGTGTGGTTGATGCTCTGAGAAATGTCATGAAAAGATTTGCCATAATCCGTGCTGATGAGAGAGGAAAGATGGTTACGTTTTGATTGAGGTGCCCACGGTAGCTGCTGATCAGATTCTAACTCACCTTCTGTAAAGTCGTGAGGAGCCTCCTTCATTTAAAGGATGAACTGGACCACTGATTGTTGACAGCACCAAGACCACCTATCAAATGAAGAAATATAGTTACAACTTTAAACACTGGGTTAAAAAGTCACAGTTAGATTAAGACGATCCACTCTAGCACACCTTAATTTGGCTTTTATTTTAAACCAGCATGTTGTCTAACATGTTTCTTAAAGCGCAAAAACCTGGTCAAATCTGTGCTTTCATTCTACAAACAAATCCTTAAAGTACAAGATGGAAAGCTCAGAGATTGTGACCACTGTCAGAGCTAATGAAATGTAGGTTTTTCTTATTTTTTCCTTAACACTTCATTACTATATTCCAGTTGTCACTGACAGAACTAGTAAGATAAGGATAAAACCAGGGGTATTGTGAAATTACATACCCACGGATATTAAAGAATGAGGAGAATTTGCTGTGTTTAAAATCAGCCTCAATTATATTTAATTCATTATCGTATATTGATGCATATTTGTGTGTTGTGGCACTTTTTTTCCTTTACAAACTCTACATTGAATTCTATTGTGCCCCTGTGACATGTAAGAGGCTATATGCAATAAACCTTCTGTATAAGAAGCTACTCACCCCTGTATCATCACCAACCCATGTGAGAATTACGTAGGAACCATCATCACCATTAAAACCTGTCTAAAGAGAGAGGAGAAAAACTCACACATCACAAAAACAGGCCTAACAAGCTAAATTAGATCTCTTCTCACAATTTCCTGTAATTTTCCCAATAATACTCTTTGCCAAATGAGTATACGGGCTTACATTACTATACGTGTTTATATTACTTTCACTTGGTTGAGAAACCCTGTTAAGCATTGCAAAACACAAATAAAAACGGGTACCAACTTCAAAGTCCTGGAATCTCTTCCTTTACATTAAATAAAAGGCACGACGGACATTGCACCTGCCTATATTGACCAAGCTGCAGCTCACCTCGTGTGTGTTATCATCCAGAACCTCGTGTTCGGCGGGGGTGAGGAGGAGCCGACAAGAGGTGAAGGGAGGACCATGTGAAGGCTTGGAAAGGCCTGGGGAGCTGCTGGCATCCCTCCTGGGGCGACGGCGCATTTGGTCCTGGCTCTCACTATGCTGAGTCCGGCGGAAAGTCAGCGTCTTTCCCTCCTTGATTCTGCATTCAACTCTCATAAGAAGAACGACGGACACCCCCAAAAGCATCAAATGTCTCCAGATCATGTCGCCAGTGATGTGACTGCAATGAAAAAAAAAGAGTCCCACTGACCGATATGCCTGGCAATAATGACTCACTTTTGTTGTACTCTAAAGGTAAGTGGGTGTGGGAAGTGCTTGGACGGGTCATTAACATAAAAAGTGCTGCGCTAAGTGGCACTTCCACCACCAGCAGGTGCTTCTGCCCGCATCCTGGTGACCTAACTGCAGGGAGAAAAAAGTTTGGGGGAGATTCGTTCACTTATCGTCAATATATTAACAAATGAATTAGCAACAACAAAAAAACAACTGGAATTCACATTTACAGAAGTTAAGGACATTTTAAGGACAGCTTCAAAAGAAAAGTTCTGGCAAGCTTTGAAAGAAATAAGAGACGTTATTGTGACATAAAATCGCAGTAGTATGGACAGGTTAACGCAAGAGGTCGACATGTATTCACTTGTGTTGCTTTCCGATGTGTAGAATAGAATAGAATAATCCTTTAATTGTCCCACAAGGGGAAATTTGGTTGAAACAGCAGCCAGAAAGACACATATACAAACAAACAGTACACAGGACACATAACAGAAACATACACAATTCTTTCTTACATATTTACATGTATGAACATGATAGGCTATGCTGGCAAAATACCTCAGGGAATTATGGCTATGATTCATCTAGTTAAGTTGTTATGACCTCATAGTCATGTCCTGAACAAGTCAGATCTAAGGAATCAGAGGGCTGGGTTTTTTTGGCCAGGGGGCGATGCCACAGAATTACACAGGTGCTTTCACCGCGGGGTGAAAGCAGCTGTAACAGGCTTTCCCTTTGGAATACCTTTTTATTTCCAAGACACCATGTGAACTATTACAGGAACTTTCATCTTAACAGATATAGAAAGTGAATTAATACATAGTTTCAATTAGGATTAAAGGTAAAGAAAATTAATTAGAATGGTGCTGTATGCATTTAAGGGTAGGAAACCGAAACCACTGAAGTGGTAAAACAAGATATCTAATAATTTGTGAGAACTGAAGTGTGGCACATTAGTTAAAAACACAAAACATAATCTTATGATGAGTCACCTCTAATGACTTGGTTTTAGGTACAACCCTTATAATGAAAAAGCGCTCGAGATATTGGAAAACTGACAGCAATAAGTATAGGCGCCACCAATGGGTGGTCAGTGGGGGGCTCTGGCCACCCACCCAAAATTTGCTTTGTGGGAGAGTGAATCTTAATCTGCTTCAGCCTAGCTCTGCTGAAAATCTAAAGCGATGGTTGGACTTCCAGTCAATCAATCAGTTAAAACTGATTATTATGGATTTCAAAATCTTCTTCGCTTTTCATATGTGCCTATTTTCAGTGATATCAACTTTAATAGCGGGGAATTAACTAAGCTTTCAAGTAACGTATGTTTGATATCAGCATAATAAAACTGGAAATTCAGTTTTTGGTGTGCCACCCCAATAACATTAGAGAACCATCCCACTGCTGATATGATGAATGAGCTTCTTAAGACACTTGGCAATGAACTTATCTCTGCAGGGGGACTATTGTAATTCGTTGTTATCAGCTCGCTCTAAAAGCTCCCAGTTCAGATTCAGGCGATAGAAACTCTCTACTTTACAATAAGGCTTAATATTTTTTTTAATGTTAAAGCCTATAGTTAAGGCTTGATCAGATGTTCCTGAATGCTGCCTTAGTTATTGCTATAGTAGGTTTGGATTGCTGAGGGCTTCCCAATGATGCACTAAGTGTTTGCACTTCAGTCTTATCTCTTCTTTCTATGCATGTTTATACAACACAATACTTAATCATTAGCAATTATTTCACACTGCCTCTCTTTCCTGTAGTGTGTCTTTTGTCCTCCCTCTCTTGTCTTTACGGAAGGTGGATTCCTCTCCCTGAGCCTGCTTTTCCTGAAGATTTCTTCCTGATAATAGGGATAAAACATTTTCATTCCTACTGTCGCCAAATGCTTGCTGAAGTGGAGTTTTGTGATTGCTGGAGTTTCTTTCTAATATTGTAGCTTAATGTACCTTACAATATAATGTGCCTTTAGGAAAAAGTAGTTATGAATTAGCGCTATGTAAATAAAATTGAATTGAACTGAGTGGCATGTTCCACCTGAAGGAGGTCCCTGGGCAGACGCATGGCATGCTGGAGAGATTATATCTCTCTGCTGGCCTGGGAAGGCCTCAGTTTTCCTCTGAGAGAGGTGTGGGCTTTGCTGCTTAGGCTGCTGCTCTCGTGGCCTGTCCCATGAAAAGTGGAAGAAAATGGTTGGATGAATGAACTGAATTCTATAATAGGTAGAATAATACATGGTTCCGATTAGGTTTAAAGGTAAAGTGTCTTAAATGTATTATCCCATATCCTATTAGGGTACAGAAGCAGAAACCACAGAAGTGAACTTAAGGGTGTGTAGAAACACAAAAAACTTCTTTGTAATGACTTGTCTCTGACTTGGTTTTATTTGTGCTTGGGTTTGCTTCCCAAAAACACTTTAAAAGCCCTTGGGATAATCAAAGACTGAGAGCCAAGTCTTTTGTGCAGTGAAACCATTCAAGCTTCAATGGTTATTTTGTCCACTTGAAAGAACTAGAGATCATAAAGTGGTAAACCACAAAACTCTTATATAATTCACGTTAAAATTCCCCCAAAATGCTGTTTCTTTGATTAATATGATTTCCTTTTTAGATTTTTTTTTTCTGTGACCAGAGGTTTTCTGATTTAGCTCCCAACAGTGATTCACTGTTCACTTTCTATTTTCTGATTTTGTCTCCTGAAAAGCCTGAGATGGTATCTGCGCTTGATAAGAAGAACAAATGTTATTTACAACATTTTACCTTTATTCACGTTGAAATCCTGCACAGAGTCATGCTTTTCAGCTTTTCCAGATCATTTCCCAGCTTTGTCACGCAACACATATTTAATTCACAAAACCTTACTCACAACAAAAAGGCAGACAGATCTTTACACAGTGGAGAGCTTGTTGCGCAATTTTTGCTGGAAGTCTGAAAGTTTTTTTCTTTTTTTCCCCCCATTTTCTAGAGAAGTCATGTTTTGTTAAGACCTGTTAGTTTTATGGCAGCCTGCATTTCTCTTTTTGACTCCAAGTTCAGTTGCTGGATCACTACCAAACTGAAACGCACACTTTGTACTCCGACTTCTACATGCTGCAATAAACTTACACACATCAAAAACATTCATCAAAAATCCCCCAATGTTTTCATTCACTTTGCTTAGAAAATTATATACAAAATGTGTACTTTTAACACAAGGAATGTGTTCTGTGTTCAGTAGTGGTTTTACACAATAGCTGCTACAAGACATGACAGCAGACAATGGGCTACAAAAAAGTGCCCAAACAGAAAGAACCATTTGGACCATAAATCCACATAAGTGAACATCCCATGTCCTTCCAGACAGTTGCAGAACATGTCCAAAAACTACAACATGACGATCTTCTCATGAGCCAATGTTTTTAGTCACGGGCCGCCCTCTCCAGTTGTTTGAAGAAATGTCCCTCTCTGTCTGTTGGTTCAGCTCCTGTAAGTAGTGATGGTCCTGCACGTGCATGAGACCACCAACGGAGTCCGCAATTTCATAAAGGACTGCAAGGACGGAAAGTGCTGTTCCAAAGAAATACATTTTCAGGATGGCTGCCACCATGGTTTCTGTGAGGAAGAGCTGCCTGCAAAAGGAGAAGTAAATATTCAGATTTTGATGACAGACAAACATTAATTCTACAGCAGGGTGGCCATATTTAGATTTCCAAAAAAAGAGGACACTTGGACCAGTCATGAAGAACTTTAATAATACTGTTTGCTTACAGAAAACTTTAACATATTTAAACGAAGCCTTCTCTGTGCGGTTAATGAATGGTGAAATAAAAAAAAAAAGTCATATAGGCTTTTATAAGTCTATAAGTGCAAAAAAGGACAGTTGGTCATCCTATTCTACAGCAGATTTTTAAAAAAGGGGGAAAAAAAATCAGGTAAAAGATTTGTAAGAAAAGTTGAGGCAAAAAAAACCTAAACAAAAACATGCATTGATCTATGCACGTTTGACAGATAGCTTGTCACCAGCCTACAGATTTTTGAAGCCAAGCAGGTAGCTGAATTTTGAAACAGTTCATGTGCATTTTGATCACTGTTTATATCTCGATGACCGCAGTGAAAAATTCACCACAAGACACAGTAAACGAGTAAAAGCCTTCTGTTTTAGAAAGAAATGATCTAGGAAGGAAGCTTGAATCACCGGCATACATCAACAGGAAGATAATTCGTGCTGCGTTTGCAAACTTCTGGAAGAATCAACTTTACCCTGAGGAATAATCTAAAGTCCTTACGTCTCTACACATTTTCGACGATGCAGCTGTTACTTTCAATGCGGATGTAATAGTTTCACTTATTCACTGTGCTCAAATTTACTTAAAAGAAGTGAAAAATAAAAGAGTAAGGGACGACTCAAGGCAACAGTCAGAAAGCGAAAGACGCATGGCTTTCAATGCGATAAAACACAGACATTAAATGCTGCTTGTCGGTACTTTAACCGAAAGGCTCTTAGAGACTGGGACATGGTTTCTAATGGCACGATAACATACCGGAATATCCACCGATCTGTAAACCGTTGTTCTCTCTCGTTTCTCGAAGCTGTGCAGGCTCTGTTTCTCCAGCGGGCACGACACGGCACGGCACAGATCATCAAAGAAACCAGTTAAGTTGTTTGGTTATTTTGTCCGTCTGTTAGTTCACACAGTGTTTCTTCGTGCGAGGTGAGGAACTCTTCGTCCAACCCGCTGCTGCGCCCGCACGGTCTGACTCCCCCTCTCACTCTCTGCTGTGGTATGATAGACGACGTCACGAAGAGGAGAGTTCTGGGTTTTCCAGCCTGTTGATTAATTTCCTGTTTTAACAGCAAAATCACTTTCGGCCTAATTGTTGTGTCGATAGTCAGTTCACGACTGACACATTATCTGATAAGGATATGGGAAATTTGTAAACGATTTCTAGTGGAAAAAAATGACAGTTAAGTGTGTGGACTGTGGTTAATTTCCTTAAAGCTAAATTCTTTTTTTTTAATGACCAGCAATTGTTAATTATTCTTGACTACATTCAGGTTTTGCAAAAATGTGCCATTTTGGAATAGTGACACTCGGGCTTAGAGACCAGGCAAGCCGGTTGTGAGGGAAAATGAAGATTCCCCAACTAATTTCCAGTAGTTGCTGGGAGAGTGATTGATAAAGAGTCACGCAGCCCTACTGTCAGTGACACCCTGTCGCTAGAGAAACTGGCATCCAAATGTAATTACGTTGGTCTTTAGCATATTGTTGACCAAATTAAACTTGTCTACAACATCTGTCTAGCTGTTCTCCAAGGTGTAGTTTCTGCTCTGCATCACACTTAGTTTGATAAAGATAGTAAGTTTCAAACATGAAAAACTACAGGCAGCCATGCAATCAATAAAATGTTTTTGGTTGTATCATATCTAATATTTGAACATCAGTTGAGCAATGTGTGCATAATGTCAAGTGAGAAACCTTAAAAAGGTTTTAGCTTGCTGGGGAAGCCACCAGCTGCTGGGGAAAAACATGCATTCCCAGATTTGTTGGCAGTGGTTCTTGGAGGTTGCTGGCTGTTGCTGGGTAAGTCGGTTACAAAGAGTGTGCAGCACCAAAAACCTCATGATTGCTTAGGTTGCTGCTCTCTTTGTAGCAACTCTCTTTTTTTACTTTCTCTTTTAGTGGACTACCTGACAAGCAGTAGTAAAGGTTGGTAAAGTGCGTGCCAACTTGCCAATGTTAGGAAATATACATTTTTCCCCAAAAAACAATCGTTGTGGACCAGTGTCTAGGCCTGTGTGACCAAATTCACTTGACCCTACAGTTCCACTATGATCATTCAAAATTGCTTACAAGTTCACATCATGTGTTTAGAAGCCACACAACTGGAAAACCTCTCATTATTACTACACTTCTGTATGGCTCTAAGTACTGGATCCTTCTAAATGAGGGCATGGACAAGCTCGAATCTCACAGATAAGGTGCCTGTGCCAAATCCTGGGTGTCAGTCTGGTCAGCCGCCTTAAGAACACCTGCATCCATCAGTGCTGTTCCACCAAACCAGCCACTCCAACCACAATTCATCAAAATGAACTAAGGTTATGTGGCAGGTCTACAAAATTGAGGCTGGTTGCTATGCCAAGAATTTGCTGCTTGAAACCCAACATGCCAGATCCTGCCTGTCTTCATGGCTAAGAAGTGGCAATATCAGATTTTAGCTTTCAGTTTTGCTGCTCTAAAATCTTACAAATGCTTCGTATGCCCTGCACCAGCACCAACAGCTGAAACATGTTCACACATCAGTTGACGAAGTGTGTGAAATGGCAAAAGGTTGAATGCAATGGAAGCAAATTTGCTGTGAACTCCTTCTTGCTGTGGCACGGCAGGACGCTATGTCAAGTTATTGCAGTAATGAAATAATGAATGGAGGAATCAGCCACTAGCTCAGTTTCTGTGTCAAATTAGTAAAGGCCTTCATGTGACTCTATTGGCTCAGGTAGTTTTAGGTCATAGTGGATAACACATGTCCGTAAAGCGAGGTAATTTTGTAATTCAGCATCATTATTAAAGGCAGAAAGGAGGACTGACCAAGGTGGGTAATGACTTGTCAACCAAGTCATTCGCCAGTAAATGTGTGGTGTGCTTGGCTTTTGAGTTAGATCCAACCCTGGCTTATCACATGCCAAAACAAGCATTATTTTACAATAAAAACAAAAAGAGGTTAATTTGATCTTTGTTTGACCGAACCTTTAAATACTTACTTTTAGAGTAACAATAGAGCACTGTACATTTTAAAAAAAAAAAAAAGTCATTATTACACATGTTCAGTTACAATATTTTGATACTTTATAAATTGCTCAGATTTTACCATGTGTACATTTTTTTATGACATGAAACCATTCCTCCCGATTCAGTATCTCTAGGATGCCTTGATCAACGAGCACACAGTGCCACAGCACTATTGTTGATTTACCCTGTGTGCTTTAAGTTATTGTCTTGCTGGGCGGATCGATCCAAACATCGATTGTATCTGTACCAAGTCGGTAACGGTATCAGATCGATACTAGCCCGGTGAGATCGATTCTTTACTTTAAGTTCCGCTTTTGTTTCCAATGCTTTGGTTTCGCCAAAGACGAAACAGCCAGGTCGCCGGAGTAGCCGCTCCTGTGTCAGCGCAGAGCGGGCACACTTTGCTCCCCCTCTCGTGTTTAGATGTTGCGCCGTCACGTGATGTGACTTAGACGCTTTGGGGGTTGTTAAGTTGTTTACATATTATTTATATTTTCACCAGTTGTTGTTTTTGTTCTTGAGAAATTTAATTGTAATTTTTGTATTATAGTTTCTCAACATTTCTTGTTTGTTTTAATGTGTTTACTGGTTTGCGTGCACTTTTTATTTACGATTTTTCTGAAAAAAAAAAAGATAATAAAGCACTTTCTCTTTAATTACAAACTTTGTCCTAATTATGTCCTGGGTTTTAACTATTTAATATTAAAAAAGGAAACATCATAAAAAACACTTAAGGTCATGAAAATTAATTGAGATTTAGCGATTCAATTATGCACCCCCCTTATTTATTGAAAAGTATCGGTATCAGTATCAGCGATACTGGACCGTATTTACCAATTCACAGCTTTTATTTTGATATCGGATCGATACCAAAATATGCTGAATCGCACACCACTACTTGCTAGATCACTTCCTAATTTTTGTCTGTCTATCCAGGGTAACTTGGTTGCTGGGGCCTATCTCAGTCATAGGGAGAGAGCCAGGGTGCTGCCCCAACAGACTGGATTCTAACCAAGGATCTTCTTACTAGGAGGCATCAGTACTACCACCTTTTTCAGTAGAAAGGACTAGATGTTACAGTCCCTGATTCTGCATTGCTTTAGATGGAGAGACTCTTGAGGGACGGCTGTTATGAGGAAAGGCAGCCCAGAAACTTTGCCAGCAGCACACATCGTTGTGTGTCTCAACTTTCGGTCTTTTACCCAGGCTAATCTGCCATTTTCCTTCCTTTGTTAGGTTTAGGTATTAGAGATCTGATCTATATTATCAATTTAAATTTAGGACACATCGTTAGTAGTGGACCTTGGATTCATCGGGTGTTCCGGCCATTATCACTAGACACCCTCATCCAAGGAGGCCCGAGTGGATCAGGCCCTGGAGCGTGTCACTGGTTTATGTTAAATTATTATTTCTCTTCTTCTTTCTTCTGTTTAGTTTCCTACAGTTTATTTTCTATCAATTCACTGCAACTGAGAAATAATACTTAACTCTTTAGGTAACACATTAACGTGTGTTATCCAACCTGTCCTACTCTTCAGGACTTGGTGCTCTTTTGTGCACCAAACTCTAAATACCTTTTGTTCCTTCAAATGGAGGAAACGTTCTTATCGAGAAATTAAACATCCTAGCAAACATCACTGAGAGAGCAGTCTTTTTCTCATTGTGCAGAAGCTAATGAATTTTAACTCTGATTCAGTAACCACAAGATTTTCTTTACATGTCATGGGGGGAAAACACCTCTATTCGATGAAAGTACTTTGAATTCACTGTCTGGTTTTTCTTTTTTCTTTCTTTTCTTTTCTTTTTTTTAGCTTGCTGGATAAAAATGGGTTCCTCATACAAGCAAGTACGAAGATAAATGTCAAAACTATTTAGTGAGCTTTACTCTTCAACTCCTTAAGCAACTGTCTCCATTATAGAACAAAACCTTTTTTTTAATTTGCCTGTTTGTGTTTCTCAGAGAGCTTTCACCTTGTCAGGACATGCTTGGCTTTTGTTGCTGTAATGCTCAGGTCTCAGTTTGACTGCCAAAATGTTTTCAATATTTATTGAATTATTAGTACATCTGGAACTTTCTTAGCCTGGATAACAGCATTGTTAACAGCAGTAAAACCATAACTAACAACTTCTTTCAAAGGGGAAAAAATTTAAGGCTTTTTTAATTAGGTTTTTTTTTTAAAAAATTAAAGGAAAAAAAGATTTGATTGGTGACTTTATACATGCAAATTTTATATCAAGGAGGAGCACTGAATAAATGGGTATTTATATAACGCAAAATAAGTGCCCAAAAAGTGTCCAGCGGCATTGTTTTGACAAGGACTTCCTTTATGACTACAGTGTACCCAACTTCTAATTGCTCCTTCCAGCCAGACACAAAGCTCAAAATATGTCAATTTTCTTAACATGACTATGAGTACACTGTAATCATATGGAAGTACAGCCAACAACTGTGACACTATCATATTAATATGGACCAAAATCTTTCCAGCTGAATATACTGTTGAATATGAAGAATTAAGGCAAAAGGCGGTTCAACCCAGTATTAGCAAGATGGACCTAATAAAGTGGCCAGTGAGCGTATATTTGCTTAATAAACATAGCCATTTATACTTGTGACATTTTCTAGTCCCTTTCCAAGTATAACAAGATGCTACAATTAGGATTACAATAAAAATGAGTTTGTTAACCTCCCCAAGCCAAGTCATCATGTCGGTGTAAGGACAGAACTTGTGTGGCTGTTAACAGTAGTGCTAACTACTGTAACTTAAATGCTAAAGTTATCTGACTAATGCTGATGTTTGGAAAGCCTAATGTGTACTTTCCAACATCTTGTAGGATGGTTAAAGAATGGTGTGTTAGCATGCTGACATTTGGCAATTAGCTGACCCTTAAAGTGATTGTGTATGGACTGCACACAAGTTCCTTGTACTCTTGTCCAGCATATTCAGACATCCATTTTGACTGGCTCTGTTTTACAAAAGTGAAAGCTGTGTCTCAAAAAATTCAGGAATGTGACAAAACCTAAAATGTCCATTTTGTGCTCTTTTATAAA